TGGTCGGTAGATGGTGGCTTATCATGCTGTTCTCTCTACTTTTATTTATGATGAGATTTTCCATGAGATGAACTAAAAATGATCAAAACAAAGCAAAATAACCACAACAAAAACAACCAAAATCTAGTGGACCCTCATAAAGAAGCACATTCCCAGAATTCCTCCACCTGCTTTCTGCTCAAATCATGGTGCCTGTTTCTAGGTCACTGATTACAAGAGGCTTCCTTACTAGGGCAGGTGATTTCCCGATAGTGGTTTATTATCCTTAACAGAATTTCAGAAAATGGCTGTTTCAGGTTGATTGCTGTCACCTGCCTCTGAGGTCAAATACTGCTATCAGGAGTTGACAGTCGCTATTTGGCTTAAAGTACTTGAGGTCATGGTCATTCCATTATCTTTCTAAGATTGCAATTTTTGAATGTGTCTTACGGATATCAGGTGCTCGGTTGGTTGTCTTTATATAGATGGCATCAATATCAGGTGGCATATAAAAGCTTTCCCAAACCATGGTTGCCTTATTAATCAATTCATAAAACTGATCAGAAAAATGTTAGGATATCTATTAATGTAGCAGTTAGGAAATAAATCTAAACGCTCCCTTTGTCCAATAAGTAGGTTTTTAAAAAGGAATGAGGATGAAGTTCAAACAAACAAATGCATCTTATTATTCAATTTGCTCTTCTCCCTCTTGACCTATAATTTTTGCTCCATGGCAATGTCTTCAGTTAGCGACTAAAAATATTTCTTTTTTCTGAGTGCAGACAGCCATAATTTGACAGCCTGGGTTCCTTTTGTTATTATCTTCATCTTGGAGAAAGTGGACATAGATTTTGAGGTTATTAAAAGAAATTTTGAGCTAACATAGATTAGCTCATAGTTTTTGAATTAAAAAAAAAAATCAATTCAAGTGGCCAGGCACAGTGGTTCATGACTGTAATCTCAGCCCTTTGGAAGTGGTGGATCACATGAGCCCAGGAGTTCGAGACGAGCAGGGTAAACATGGTGAAACCGTCTCTACTAAAAATACCAAAATTATCTGGGCATGGTGGCACATGTCTGTAATCGCAGCAGTTGAGGAGGCTGAGGCATGAGAATCACTTGAACCCAAGAGGTGGAGGTTGCAGTCCTGGGCAATGGAGTGAGACTGTATCTCAAAAAAAAAAAAATTCATTTGGCTTAAATAAAATTCCATCTTCATGCTATCACATTAATCAAGATGGACTGCATGAATCTTTCAGAAATACCAATCAGTTTATCAGGACTCTGGACCAAAACATTTACTGTTTAAGTCAAAGAAAATACTGATCTTATTAAAATTACTATGTTGGCTGGGCACGGTGGCTCACTCCTGTAAATCCAGTGTTTTTGGAGGCTGAGGAGGGAGGATGGCTTGAGGCCAGGAATCTGAGATCATCCTGGGCACACAATGAGCTCCTGTCTCTTCAAACAATTTTTGAACATTAGCTGAGTGTGGTGGCACACACCTGTACTAGCTACTTCGGAGGCTGAGGTGGGAGGGTCACTTGAGCCCAGCAGTTTAAGGCACTGCACTCCAGCCTGGGTGGCAGAAGGAGATCCTGTTTTTATTAAAATAAATAAGTAAATAAAAAATAAAATCACTATATTGAGGATTTTTTATTAAAATTCATGGGCATGCTAAAAGTTAAAAAGTATTATATTTGATCAGTAAATGACACATTCTATCAGAGAAAGAAGTATAATTGTTATAATTCATTAACAATTCCACATATTTTATGATAGATTCTAAATTTTAAGATGAGCTTGGAATTTAAGAGTTTCTGATCCCCACCAGCCTTGGAAGTTTCTAGACATGTAGAACATTGTGTCATTCTCCTCCACAAGCTTGACAATGTGTGTTCCCAGTTTCTGATCTCAAACTGAACGCATGCGGGTAATTTTCCTCATCTTCTCGAGTTGGGCTTAGGGGTAGTTTGATTCTACATCCGCGTGGACTAGGAGCTTCTTTCTGTTTCTCTAATTCTTCCACATTCTGTAAGAGCTGGTTTAAATATTATTTCTCCTGTGAAGTTTTCTACTTTGTTACCACAGCCCCCAACCCCCAGCCGAACTAAGCTCACCGTCAGCACTTAATCTGTTGTGTAAACATTGCAGATTTATCGTTTAGATCATCCTCATACTGGGCCTTGGGCGTCAGGACTTGGTGACTTGCCTCTCTTGGCAGCCCTAGGGCCCAGCAGGGTTCCAGGGCTGCCAGAAATGTCTGCTGAATGACAGTGTTTCCTGCTTCTGTTATGACCTCCATTTTGTCTTCTGAAGCTTTGCCCTAGGATTTCGAAAGGGCTTTCCTTTCAATGATCCCCTTAACACCGCCTACCGGCCCTGAGATGTGGCTGAAGGAGTTCTAACAACCCTGAGTTTAAAGGGGCAGGCAATTGACCTTCCCAAGGTCTGACACTCAGTTTCTGGAATAAATAGGACTACTACCAGGTCTCTCTCCTCTTCTGAGACAGGTGCTTTGTTTTGTTTTTTGTTTGTACCAAGCAGTTGTCAAAATAACACAAATATTAACATTTCTTACGTATTCTCCACTCCTGAGAGAGAAGAATTGAGCCATAGCTCATTCCTCTTTGGCAATCCTAGGGCTGACTTTAGGACTAGAAACAAAAGCTCAGGGAGGCACCTGGTCTCAACTCTCTCCATAGGATTCTGAGGTTCTGGAAAGGGGGCAGCAACCTGAGATGGGTGAATCACCTCAGGCTCTCTGAGTTTTCAGGTCCTATGTACTACCTTGACGAGGGGAGGATTTAAACTGGGGAAAGGAAACAATGTCACGATGTCTTACATTTCTTTTTCTGACTGCTGTCTTTTTTTCCCCTAAAGCGTATCACTAAAATATGACAGATAGAGCATCTCCATTTCGTAAGTTGACGTGCTGAAGACCTGGGCAGGTGGCTGTGCCATTTATGAAAGAGCACCACTCAAGGCCTGACAGTCACTGATCCAGGTCTGAAATCCCCAGCCTGCCCTGCCGTTTGGGGTACCACTGGGACTGATGTCTCAAGGCTGAAGTTTTAGATGCATTTCCTATGAACACGCTCCCATCCAGCTAAAGAGAATTAGAGCAAGGACTCTGTGTGTAATTCACACATGACTCTGCATACCAGTTTATAATAATCGTGTAATAAAAATGGCTCAGCCGAGTTGCTATGCAGCCCTGTTTAGCAGCTTGCTTCCAATATTGCATTTACAAAAATTACATATTTCATATAATCAGGCCTGTCTCTTACTTAATCATCCCACACATCATATAAATCTTTAAAATGGACAGGTCTATAAATCACTAGCATTTTTCATTTACCACTTATTCTAAGCTAGGCAGTTTCTTATTTAAATTGCCATACGAATAAATCTAATAATCCTTATTCACTTACATCATCTCAAACTTTAAATCTTATTCCAGCGGAGGTCATAAGTGAAATCAGTATTGAGGGCAGAACTAGCAGCTGTAACAACTATAATAGCTTGCCAAATTATATTAAAGGACCCAAATAACATTAAAAAAATGAGGAAAAATTGAATTACATGATTAAAGTGTGATCTGCTGAATCAGGCAAATGTGGGGCTTAAACAGAGCTTCTGCCTGAGGTGTCGCTTCCATGTGGGATTGGTGCCAATTGGAAGACAGAGCCACTTGCTCAAACCCTCTTATTTGCAAACCTTGATTAAAATCTAGATCAGGGTTTCTCAACCTTGGCACTGTTGACTTTTTGTTTTAGAGAGATGGAGTCTCGCTTTGTTATCCAGGCTAGCCCCGAGCTCCCTGGGCTAACTATAGGCACCCCAGCACTATTCCCATTTGGGGACCGTTCTTTGTTATGGGGTCTGTCCTATGCATAGTAGGATGTTTAGCAGAATCCCTGGTTTCCATCTACTAGATGCCAGTAACACACTCTACCCCCAGTTGTAGCAGCTAAAAATGTCTCCAGGCACTGCAAATGTTTCCTGGGGGACAGTCACTCCCATTGATAACTACTGGTCTGGATAATGAGACAGGATTGGATTTGAGCGTCTCCCAGGGATGTTGGAAGGTCTCTAGGTCTTGCAGGGATATGTGTTCCACACTGTGCCCCTTTCTTTAGCCTTGGTGGACAAGCAAGGAGTTCAGTGTGTTTCTTATTCTAAACTGTGGTCAAGGAGAGGAAGCAGAGGAGAAGGAACCATGACAGGGAGAGTAGGGAGAACATTCGGTGGACAGGACAACTCTGAACTCAGGGCAAAGTGTCTCTGATGTTTAGGACAGATCATTTCCTCACCCTTTCCCACTGAATTCACAGCCCGCTCTTTGTCCTTTCTGAGAATACACGGGCATGGCAGACCTGACATTCACAGAAGCTCACAGCATGACTGTAGAGTAAAAATGATTTTTGTATGCACCATAAGTAGTTCAGAAAGGTAGGGTGATTTTTTGTAGTGATCAAAGGAAAATGGTGAATGTTTGTAAAGGGGACATTTAAATCTCAATAATTGGCTCTTGAGAAACTTAGCATTATCAGGCATGTACCAATGTTGAGAATGAAGGATCTGGTTTCCTCTCTTCTTATGGCTGGCAGATTGTATCTTATGATGGCTGGCAGAGATGCCGATAGTTCACGTCTGAGCTGGGGAAGGAACTGGCTGCAATTAGTTTCCCAGAAAGATTCTGCCAGGTCTTTGACAGACTAAGGAGTTATTCCCCATATAAATCATTCTTGCTCTGCCATCTTAAATGTACATGCTATTTTAGAAGGGCATCCATCCTACATCACCTAAGACCAAATAAAGCAAATAATGCCATTACAATTTGGAGATGAAACTCACTGACAGCTCAATGTAACAGAATGCCGGGGGGAGGCATTTGTAATTATGGGTTGGCAGTGCCTCATGCCCAACTAATGGGAATGGTGACATCATTTATACTGAGGATCAGAAAGACGGAACCAGGAAACAAAATTAGAATGAAATTTGTTGTGTCCAGGAACTCTGCTTTTTTTTTTTTTTTTTTTCAATCTGCCACATTTCCACCTGGGGCAAACTTTATTCTGCCTGTCCCAATCCAACCAACCATGAGAGCAAACTGCTGGGCCAAGACGTCACTGCTGGTCCCAAAGGACTGCCGGTGTCCCGTCACGACGTTGGTCAACAGGACGCGCCGAGACAAGCCTGTACTGAAGCAGTTATTTGCTTTGATATTCAGGGACCAGGCACAGGACCAGGCACCAGGGATCCGGAAGCTGCAGAGCATGCCAGGCCGGTCTATTCCTGCTGGGTGACTATTGACAAACAGTGATGCTGGGAGCAGGGTGGCACAGCCTGGAGTCTCTGCGAGTCCCATGAGGCACAGAAGAATATGGGAATCCAAGTGATTCAGCGAGGCCCAGCACACCGAGTTCACCTTCCGGTTGGTGAAGTAGAGGTTTTCGTGCATGAACACCTTGAGCGCGGGGGTCTTCAGACTCTGCAGGTTGATGATGCCATACTTGGAGCCTCCGACTTTGACATCATTGACTGTGAAGAGCCGGTCACTGTTGGTATCTGCCAGTATTAGGTTAAATCGGTCGCTTGCCAAGGCAGAGGGATCCAAGCTCCGAATCTGAACCTTTTTCCTCTCCATGCAGCTGAGACGCAGCTCGTGGGCTAAACGGCAATAATTGCTGACGTTGAGAAAACCCAGCTGGCTTTTTCGTAGCATGGCAGATGCATTAAATCCCATGCTGGCAATCTTTTTCTGCTTGTCCTCTTCCTCCAGCAGCCGCAGTCTCTTGCTCTCCATTTCCTTCTGCCGGATGCTCTCCTTCGTGAGGGGGTTGCCGTTGTTATGTCCAGGGAGCAAGCGGAAGTAGCGTTTCTTTTCAGGGTCAAAGTAAAACCCAGGCAGCTCTGGCACAGAGGAGGCCCCAGCTGTGCCAGACGAGGTCGACGGAGACCCGTCATCACGGCTGCCAGAATCTTGAGCGGGCTGTGCTGCCTGGGAGTTGGACCTGTCGTCAGAATCACGGAGTCTGAACCAAGGGTTCTGCTGGTGGCTTCTTCTCCCACGTCTTCTCCTACTCTGCCAGCTACTTTTATTCATTTCGGTTCCTGTTCAGAGGGTTTCTTCCGGATCCCCCTCGACCTTAGCTCTGCAGGAGTTGGGCCCAAGTGTGCAAGGACCCGGAAAGCAGGAACTCTGCTTTTTAAAGGTTTTTGATGAATATTGAGAATGGCCAAGTCATTCCATTGTCTTAATCCTATGGTGACTTCTGACTCATTGAGCTGTCAAACTGATTCACTTAGTATAGGAAAGAGACCACTAATCCAGCTCAATTTTATGTGTAATTTTTGGGACCTCACTCCATCTTTCCCCTTTATTTCTCCATATAAAATATTATTTTCATTCATGTTCTTTAAAGATGAACTTAAAAACTCCCCGCTATCTCATTTAGTTATCCTACATAAGATATAGATGATGCCTTCTTGTATCTTCCCACCTAATTAAAATGCTCCGGGATGCCTGATATTTAAGATAGCATTATTACTCTAACAGTAAAGAGTATAAATTTTCCTCGCAGCCAATTTTATACATCTCCCCGAGTGGAGACAGACAAGAAGCCGGAGAATAGCCGATGCTTTCCTGGTGTAGCTGGGCCCCACTGCCAGGGTGAAGTCACTCTCAATTTCCATTTTCTCTTTCTACTAGCTATGAATATTAGCAGTAATTGGCATTGGTGGTTTGGAGTAATTTCTACATGTCAGGCACACGATGTGTTTTTTGAGTTCCAGAACTAATTTTTGGTGACTCCAAGGCCGGGGTAAAAAGGAAGAGATGGAGAGACAAGATTTCCTGGCCTCTAATTGGCAGCACCCACGGACTCTGTTCATGACCAGACTCATGAACACTTCATTCAAGGTTTCATGTCCTCAGTGTAAAAGCCTTTCTGATTTGAGAAAATTCTTTCTTAAAATGGGCTTCTATTGGTAAAGCTGTTGTCTTTTTAGGAAATCATCAAATACCTTAAAACTAGAATGCAATCAGCTGTATAAATGACACACATGCTAAATCAATCCCTTATCAGGTAAGATAATGAATGGCATCATTGCCTGTTTTGTTGACAGATCACTTTTTATCTTACATAAAATATTTGGCATTTTTAAGGACCCCTTTTATTCTGGGGGAGTAAACACTTATAGGCCAACATTGGCCTGTTTTTCTTGGTCACCACTGATGCCGATGGTTGATATGGATACTCCAAAGCTGGTCACTTGAATCCATATTGGGGGATAAAGCCTGCTAGAAGGTTCACGCTAGAGGCCCAAGGAATGGGTCTCTACATTGATTAGACTGGTTGCTACTTGGTAGCAGAATCTACATCTTTTCTGTTACCTATGTCTAGCCCAGGGCCTGTTATGTATAATAACAATAATTCACTTTCAATGATGCACGATGGTGTGCCGGCAGGGAGTGCTCAGTACCACACGTGTAACCCATTTAAATCTTATGACAGCTGGTGAGGTTGTGAGCTGGTGATTTGCCTATTTGCTCTCAGATCCATTCTCTGCCCTTTTCCTGCTCTGCTCCTCCGTACCATAGCCATTGACATTTCCCAGGCTCTGGGGGACCTTTAAAGTTCAGGCGTAGTGGCTCATGCTTGTAATCTCAGCACTTTGGGAGGCCGAGGAGGGCAGATCACCTGAGGTTGGGAGTTCAAGACCAGCCTGACCAACATAGAGAAACCCCGTCTCTACTAAAATATAAAATTAGCCACGTATGGCTGTAATCCCAGGTAGTTGGGAGGCTGAGGCAGGAGAATCGCTTGAACCCGGGAGGCAGAGGTTGCAATGAGCTGAGGTCACACCATTGTACTCCAGCCTGGGCAAGAAAAGCAAAACTTCATCTCAAAAAAAAAAAACAAAAGTGTCATATGGTTGTTCTCCAAGAGCATTCTTTCTAGAGTTTAAAAACCAGGAAATATGGAACGTACCTGTGAGTTGAAGAGGGGTAAGGAAGGTGGAATGTTTGTCCTTACAGGAGGTGATACAGTGTATAGGTTAAGAGCATGGCCTTGGATCAGACTCTCCAGGTTCGAAGATCCATGCTCCGCTTACCAGCTGTGCCACCTGGGGGGCAAGTCTCCTAAGTCCTCTAGACCTCGGTTTCCTCATCTGTAAAATGCGTATGGCAGTACTGGTAAACCTAACACACAGAGTTCTTGAGAGGATCAAACGAGAATCCATGTAAAGTCCTTAGAATGGTGAGGAGAACGGCTAATGTGTATTATTTTCACTTTGTGAGGATTAATTGAGATAGCACATTTCATGGCAGTTCCTCAAGCGAACTCTTGAAGCTTTAAACCAAGTAGTTTCATTAATGTGCATCATCGATCATTTTCCTTAGACTCCCCACCTTTGGATTCCTTTCTTCTCATTGTTAAAAATTGTCCCTGTCTTTCTCTTCCTTGTCACTCTCATATCTGTGTGCTGAATAATATCCATTCTTCTGAAGTATTTGCACCAATGAATATGCCTTTTTATTTGGGCCTCCACCAATGAGGTTTTATTATAGTTTAATTCAGTCCAAAGAGCTTTTCTTTTTAATTTAATTTTATTATTATTATTTTTTGAGATGGAGTCTTCCTCTGTTGCCAGGCCGGAGTGCAGTGGCATGATCTCGGCTCACTGCAACCTCCGCCTCCCAGGTTCAAGAGATTCTCCTGCCTCAGCCTCCCAAGTAGCTGGGACTACAGATGCATGCGACCACACCACAGCTAATTTTTGCATTTTTAGTAGAGACGGGGTTTCACCATGTTGGCCAGGATGGTCTTGATCTTTTGACTTTGTGATCCGCCCACCGCGGCCTCCCAAAATGCTGGCATTACAGGCGTGAGCCACTGTGCCCAGCCCAAAGATCCTTTCTTAAGTATCTACCATGGGCAACTGGATCACTGAGACATTCACTGAGGTGACAGGAAGAGGAGTCTAACTTAGTCATAATTTACACAGAGGCAAACTGTCTCTAGCCATCTTTATCATCTATATTTACTGATTGTTTTGTTTACTTCATTCGTGATCCACCTTGCACCAGTTTTAAAATCATTCATTCAACAATCAAGCACTTTCTTCGTGTTCAGGCACTTCACTGGTTTCTTGGGGTGCAGAGGTAAACAAACAGGCATGATCTCAGCCTTTCCAAGCAACCGAGGGGTTGGACAGTATGATTGGTTGCATGAAAGAACATTCTTTTACTCAAGCAGAGAATTTCCCCTGCCCTATTCCCGGAGGCTATGGGAAGGTCCACTGGGTGCACAGAGAGATCTTTCAACACTGGGAAGGCTAGAAAGCCTAATGTGAAAGTGAATTTTGCAGGCATTATCTCCAGTGTCTCAGGATCCTCAGAGCTGCTTTTCTTGGGAGAGGTGGGAGGGGCTTTTGCACCCTGGCCATGGACAGTGCTGATGGGTTAGAGAATGGTATCCCTCCGTGTGCTGGAATCCAATCAGATACATTAATCTCCTTGGGGGACAAATGAAATTAATCCTCTCTCCAGATGGCAGCAAAGTGACAAGAGTGCAGAGATTAAAAGAGATTGTGAGGTTATACAGTGACAGCACCATCAATCGGGTTAGGAAACCCAGAGCTCCATTTGCACCAAAGGTAAATGGCACTATCTCACTTTTTGCAAGTCTGATGGGTTTGAGGTCTTGCAGAAAAGCCCATCCTTATGCACTTTTCTCAGTTTGACTCCTTTCAATTTCAGAATTTCTATTTCTACGGAACTATTTTTATTTACCTGCTAAATAACTCTCCCTCCCTCCCTCCCTCCCTCCCTCCCTCCCTCCCTCCCTCCCTTCCTTCCTTCCTTGCTTCCCTTCCTTCCCTCCCTCCCTCCCTTCCTTTTTTTTTTGACAGAGTGTCCCTCTGTTGCCCAGGCTGGATGCAGTGGACAATCTCCGCTCACTGCAACCTTTGCCTCCTGAGTTCAAGTGATCCTTTTGCCTCAGTCTCCCAGGTAGCTAGGATTACAGGCATGTGCCACCACTCCTGGCTACATTTTGTGATTTAGTAGAGACAGAGTTTTCACCTTGTTGGCCAGGCTGCCCTCAAACTCCTGAACTCAAGTGATCCACGTGCCTCGGTCTCCCAAAGTGCTGGGATTCCAAGCGTGAGCCTCCGCACCCAGCCTGTTAAATACTATTTCTATATTGATCTCTTTGTGTCAAAACTCTTCCCTGATGTTATCATTTTTATTTGTATTGAATTTTCTAATACATTGTGGCTGGGTTTCTGAGGAAGCAGACCCTGACTCGGAGATCCGTATCACAGCTTGAAGTGTCCTGGGGGTCCTTTCTTCTCATTGGCATCAATGCTGTGTGGGGAAGGGGAATCTGGTGGCAGTGCAGCCACAGAATGTTGTGACTCAACCCTAGCTGACTCCATGGCGAGCTCTGACGCTGGAATGGCCCTTTTGAGTTGTCCCTTTTGGAGGAAGGAACTGGGCTTTTATACCTCCAAGTCAACCAGCCATTAATGTGAGCTGCCCCAGGACGGGTGCACGACCTTGGGCAAGATGGCTTTCCTCAGCCAGGCAGAGGGGAGCTGTCAGCTTACAACTCTCCCTAGGGGACAGTACCTTGGGTCCTGATGGAAAAACCTGGATAGCACAGCACAGCATTTATGACAAACATTTAGCAGAGACCCTCAGGATAAGCTGCTCTTGAGAGACTCTTTCTTGATGCCACGAATGACTCTTTTTTTTTCTTGAGACAGAGCCTGGCTCCATCACCCAGGCTGGAGTGCAGCAGTGTGATCTCAGCTCATTGCAACCTCCGCCTCCCAGGTTCAAGTGATTCTCTTGCCTCAGCCTCCTAAGTAGCTGGGATTATAGGCGGGCACCATCACAATTGACTAGTTGTAGTTTTAGTAGAGACAGGGTTTCACCGTATTGGTCAGCCTGGTCTCAAACTCTTGACCTCAGCTGATCTGCCCATGTTGGCCTCCCAAAGTGCTGGGATTACAGGCTTGAGCCACCACGCCCAGCCTACCGACGACTTCTTAATGATCTCCTCCAAAGGCAGCCTTAGTTATCCTTCATCTCTTAACAGTGTTTGACAGTAACTTTTCCATCTTTCTCAATATTTTTGCTAAAATAATATGTCTATTAACGTTCTGATGCTTTCCTCTCTTT